TTCTGGTACAAAAAATGCAACAACATTTTTCTCTATTTGAGGTACACTGGTCAACAATCGCTTGGGATGGAACTAATTTTATGTGTAAGTTTTTGGTGAAAAAATAAAATCCACAAAATGTTGATGCTACATTACGTCATCAGTTTTACACATAAATCAATGAAATTTGTTGTGGTGCCTGGCCCGGTTGGTCTGTTCTTAAAATTTGTAAACTTTTAGAAAGTAGGTGCTGGTGATCCTTAGCAATTGTTAAGCAATGTACATCATCACTTATTTGTTTTTTGCAACGTTAATTCACCCGTAGATAGCACTAAGTAAGTGGTTTTGAAAGATTTTTTTCTCATTTCGTGGTAACCGCATGAGTAAAAAAAATATAAAGGGTATGGTCAGATTCCATTTTTTACGAGCTTTTCAATGAGCCCATACACGACATAGGTTTGCATTTGAAATAAAAAGTTGGGGAGGGTTGCAGCTAAGAGGTTGAAAAAAAAATTCATTTTTTTGCCAAAAAATGCGTACAACGTGAAATCAACTGACGTGTTTTTTTCCTAAAATACTGGTTGAAAAGATATTAATTTTATTCCGGACTTTTGCGCACCCCTGTATACATGGATATCACAGTTAAAATTTGTAACTCAGTAAATAACTGCTTACAAGAATCACCATATTTTTTTAAAACACATGGTTCGTAGTATCTTTGTTTGAGCAATCAACAGATCATTCAATTTGCAGCAGTTACCGTAGCAGACTAAGCAATAATTTAGACTTGAGTGAACATAGGCATAGTAGTAGCTTAATAAAATATTGTTGGGGACAGAATTTCTGAGATTCCTAATAACGAAACAATGCCAGGATAATTTATTAGAAATAGAGTCAATATGATCATTCCAGGATAATTGGGAGTCAATGTTCAACCCTCAGAATTCGACTGATTTTTCCTGCACAATAGATTTAGTATTAGCTCTAACCAATATACTGCAGTCCATTTCTCTAAGCGAGAAAACAATGGTATTAGATTCATTGCTATTTAGTACGAGGCCGTTTCTGGCGCAGTAATTAAGCATATTAGCAACTGCAATATCAGCCTGGTCAGATAACCCTTCACAAGAAGGAGAACTCAATAAGAAGGACGTGTCATCAGCAAAGTGTACAGTATAATGTTGTTGATTAATATAAGAGATGTCGTTGACGAATAAAAGAAAAAGTGTAGGACCCAGGACACTACCTTAGGGAACACCTGTTAAGATGTTACGATTTTCAGAATGATATATTCCAAATTTGAGCCTAACCTTAACAGATTGTGATCTGCCAGTCAGATAAGTCTTATTCCATTTTAGACTTTGGCCGCGAACTCCAGTATCATAAAGTTTATCGAGGAGAAGTTGATGGTTGATGGTATCAAATGCATATGACAAGTCAAATAGAATACTGATCGATTTTTCGCCATTTTAAAATTTGGATAAAACATGATTGACCAGAGAAAGAGTAGCATCTTGGGTGGATAAACCAGATTGGAATCCATATTGTCTCTTTGCGAGTAGGTTATACTTTTTACAGAAGGATACAAGTCTGTTGAGATAGTATTTTTCGAAAATTTTTGAAAATGAAAACACCAATGCAATACCTCTGTAGTTGGAGATTAAGTGCTTATCATTTTTCTTGTGAACAGGAACTACAATAGCATGTTTAAGACACGAGGGAAATAAACCCTCAAGGAAAGAGAGATTAAGTAGGTATGTAAGTGGTTCAATGATTAGTTCAGCAACATTCAACAATATTCTGCCTGGTGATTCATCAATGCCACTAGAGTTCTTAGACGATATGGTCTTGATATCAAGAAGTTAAGTTTCGTCTAAAGGATGAAGAAAAAAAGAATTTGATTTTATATCGTGATAATGTTCACCGGCAGGCTCAGAATCATTGATAAGAGAATTTACAGAGTCAATGAAAGAATCATTAGAGACTTCGCTTTCATTTCTCATTGCTACAAAAAACTTAAGTTCGATAAATTGGAAGTCAGAAACGATTTCAATAGTTGAATTTTATAAAAAGCTCAGTCCTTATTTTCAGTCCAATTTGAATAAAATTGTACGAAAGCGTTGAAGGGCCACACAAAAATATTTTTTTCGATTTGTATAATTCTGACTTTCATCTCAAATTTCTGAGTTGCAAGTCAGACATTGCAGGAAGATCCACATTTGTCAACGGTTTCATTAGCCCAAAACAATCCTGCGTCTAGACGTACGATTGTGAGGTTTTTGGAAACAGAAAAATACAACCCTAATAATGTATGTCTTGTCCAAGAGCTCTTGGAAGATGACTATGACAGGCGTTTGCAATTTTGTGAGGAAATAATGAGGCGATGTGACGAGAATAATGGGTTTTCACTCAACATACTCTTTTCGGACGAAGCTTTTTTATTTACATAGAGTAGTTAACAGGCACAACTATCGATTCTGGAGTCAGGAAAACCCACACATGACGTGGTACAATTTAATGGCCGCCAAGATCCCCAGACTTAACGCCATTATATTATTTTTATTGGGGATATATGAAAGACACGGTTTATCAAAATAGGCCGGCTAATATTGAAGATCTAAAAAGCAGAATCATAGTGGAATCACATAATATACCGGCTGAGGCCATTTGTAATTCCGTAGACGGGTTTTACCATTGCCTAGGAGCCTGCCAAGTAGAGGGTGGAGGCCAATTTCAGCATCTGTTACGTTAATTCACCCGTAGATAGCACCAAGTTAGGTATTTGTAACTTTTCAAAAGAGTTTTTTCTCATTTCGTTGTAACCACAAAAAAAATTGAGGGTATGGTCATAATCCATTTTTTACGAGCTTTTCAATGAGCCTATACACGACATAGATTTGCATAGCTGCTGGTTATACTCTCAGGCAAAATTATAATCTGATAGTTCCTAGTTTCACTAAGAAAATTTCAAATCCCATGAATTTCAAAAATAGCATCAACAATATTCTCTACAAAAATGCCTTTTATTCACTTGATGAATATTTTCAAATTGATCTGGCTGCTTGACATCAAGATTGTTTGCTCATCTCTCATCTCTCAGTTACAACTCTCGAAGCGAAGCAGTAACTCGTCTTGATAATGCCATCTGAGATGATGGCGAAACGTCGACTATCGAATAGTACACAACGGATGAACACCCGGAAAAACAACACATCATATTCTACCATCACCTACATTGTGATGGCCAATTCCATGGTCCCAAGCGCCTCATCCACCGATCGTCAAATAGTCTATCCAGTTCTGCGCTCACTTCTCTTGTGCAATGTGCAGGAGCTCCGTCTAGTTGGTACCAACAGTTTCGATAATCTTCGAGTGGCAGATTATCCACGAAACTGTCTACAGTATTCTCCAAAATATTCAGGTAGCTTCTGGATGTTAATGACTCCTCGTATATCACGTACCTCAA